AGAAGCGACGGGGTGGAGGAGAGGATTTGAAGGGACAGGGCGAGAACGAGGAGCGAGTGACAAGAGGATCGGTTTTTGAGGGCGGAAACGGGAGACGTCGGCGATGATTTCTGGAAAGTGAGAGAGGGCTGGGAGGGGAGAGAGGAGGGTCGAGATGAGGAGGAAGGGCGGAGGTGGCTCTGGGCGCTGTCAACGGAGGAAGTTGTGGCGAACGAACGCTTGTGGAAGATCTCGCACCCTTTTCAATTCACCCGTCGTGCCATAGTCATTGCAAGAATATAGCAACAACGGATGGACAATAAATTCGGCTTGTCATGGATAAGGGCCTACGTTGTGCTCCACTGCTAAGCGCCTCACCCCGATAATCCTGACTCTCAAGCTGGCCATAGCAGCTTTACGAGAAACATCGCGTGGGAAAAATAGGGTCCCCCCCACCCCCCTCCCCCCCGATCCTGCCACCCTCACTGATGACAATTCCGCGTCTGGCAAGGATTGAACCGAGAGCCAAATTCTCTACGCATGAGCACTGCCTCCCTCCCTCGCTCGCATAGATACCCAACTCGGAGAATTCACGCAAATCCCGGCAGGAGGTGGGCGTGAGCAAAGGGGTTACGGTGAAGAAATCCAGACTTGAAAGCGAGTGTTTTTTTTGTTCGTAACGTCAATACATTTCTATCTTCTTGGTTTTTTCGGTAAAGTCACGTAGAAGGGAAGTAATAAAATAATGAAAATGTTTTATTTTTATTATTTTATTACTTCCCTTCTACGTGACTTTACCGAAAAAAAAAGCTTTCGTGACTGCAGGGATTCATCTTCTTGGTTTTTTCGGTAAAGTCACGTAGAAGGGAAGTAATAAAATAATGAAAATGTTTTATTTTTATTATTTTATTACTTCCCTTCTACGTGACTTTACCGAAAACACCAAGAAGATGAATCCCTGCAGTCACGAAAGCTTTAAATCGAAATTTAATACATTTCTATTGAAGATAACTGGCCCAAGTGGCTCGCATTCGGCGAGTTTGCGAGTTCAAACCCTGTTTTGGTAGGGGGGGGGGGAAGTGACTCAGACCGTCATCTTTTCCTCCTCCCGGCGTCGACAAAATGAGTACCCATACCGCGGCAGGAATCGACAAACGGTCATACCCACGGAGAGACTCACTCCCTGCCAAAGAGGCCTGTTTTACCTTTCCTAGACTTTTCACTCCTACTGTCGGTTTAAAAAAATGTGTCTTTGTAACTTCCTGACCCCAAGCTCCCCACCCTCTGCTCCCACACAACCGGACATCTGTGCAAAAAGAGCTTCTTTGATGGCTAGTCGTGGATTCCTCGGCCTGTTCTAAATAAAAGAACACCGATTCTGATCTCAAAAGTTTCCGGACCCGAGACTTCAGACTTTATGAAATACGTTTAGGCTGTTTAGATTATTGTTGCCGCTATAATGTCCAAATGATGGGCCGCTTTGTTGAGCTATCATTTGTGCTTCCAGATTTGAAGCTTTCGTGACTGCAAGGATTCATATCCTTAGGTTTTTTCGGTAAAGTCACGTAGGTCAAAAATTAAAATTAATAAAAGTAAAATAAAAAGTAAAATAAAAATCACGACGTTTCGGAGGCAACACAAGCTTCCGTCTTCAGGTGGAACCGTCACAGCACGCTTGCTGTATCAAGTGTCATTTGTGGCTAGGTCGCTTCTGAAAAATAAGTTAATACCTCGGTGGGTTTTTTCTGGCAGGACGGGGATGGATTAGTGTTGTATTTATTTGTGTTCTGGGTGATTTGTGTACCTTTCTTGTACTTTGTACCACTATCGTGTTATTGTCGTAACGTTCTGACCCGCCCCGACTGGGCATCTGTGAAAAAGAGCTTCATAGCTCATCGGATTCCTCCAGGATACATTCATATTCTGATTACTGAGTTGCTGAGGCCCATTTGAAGCTAAAGCAGCTCTCTTGACCAGGACCACCAGTTTACCACCAAGGTGCCACCGCCGTTGAAATGGAACGCAATGTGTGTATATTGAGCTGTAACCATCGAGCCATCTGGCTACCATTACAGATCGTACAATTTAGGCTTTCGTGACCAATATCAATAATAGAGTGTTTTTGTTTGTGTTAGATCACATGAATATAAATTTGTCGTTAAACCCAACACCACCCGACACAGCCAATTAGTAAGGGTTGTCACGTAAACAGAACGTGCCAATTCATTACCAGTACAGCACTAACCGGTGTGTCGGAGAGCAAATCCACAATATTTGCAATCAGAGTACGACGTTTCGCCAGTGATCACGACCAGCATCATCAGGCGACAGCCAGATTTGTTCTGTCCTCCTGTCGCCACAAATCTGGCTGTCGCCTGATGATGCTGGATGTAATTACTGGCGAAACGTCATACTCCGTTCGTAAATGTTAAGGGTTTACTCCCCAACACACCCGGTGTGCTGTACAGGTAACGATTTGGCATGTTCTGTTCACGTGCCGGGTGGTGGCGGGTTTAACGACACATTTATATTTACGCGATGTAACCCCCCTCCAAAAAAACACTCTATTGTGGAAAAGATGGTACAATACAGCATGGGTTGATTTTTTTTTTGGCGTGTGTGTAAATGTTGACATCGTATTGTGCTCATTGAGTGTCTCCATTGGAGGGTAAATTAACTCGGTGGGAGTATTGGGAGCACTGATGCACAGAAAAAAATATGTTTATGTAAATATATCGTTAAATAGATGCCTTCGCAGCATCATCGTGTAAAAAAAACGAAGCCTTTTACATCTCCAGGCACAGTCTTGATGAGTCTCAAGATGTTTTTTTTAGGGGGGTCCTGTGCTGGGATGTTTGGTCGCTTTCAACATGAACCAGTAAACGAAGTATCTGGCAATGCTGATGCTGCTGCGTCAGCGGCGGTGCACAAGCATCGACAACAACAACAACAACAGCAAAACGAACACAATCGGGCAATGACCCCTTCATTAAATATTTATAAAAGCCATAGTTTCATAGCACACTTTACGTCACGTTGCGATCAATGAGGGCTTGAGGACCTTTTCCTAAAACGTCATATATTACATCAACAACAACAAAAACATTTTTTTAAGACGGTTTTCTTCACAAATGTGTTGAGTGTGACTTTAGTTCGATCATTTTTGTTATTGTAAGAGAGTGGGAGGAAACGGGGCTGTCGGGGAGTGGAGAAACCCCAGAGGCATGCCGGGGCACAACGCAGAGAGAGAGCGCCGTGCAGCCTCAGGAATCCGATGCTTTGCGAGCCTCTCGCTAAACTAAACGACGACTAAAACGATTTCGATTTTACACGCTTTTAACACATTCCTGCGGAGGGAGCTGGTAGGAACGTTGGGTTGCTCGGTCAATGGCCAGGGTCAACGGCGGCGTGGTGTATTCCGCAAATATGCCCGACTGTGAGGGCGGGCACAAGCCGGCGTGAGTCGGTTAAACGTTGAGTTTTATAAGGGCACCACGGGGTGACCAGCCCCTCCCCACCCAGCCCCACCCCTCCCACCCCCCACCCAGCCCCTCCCCACCCACCCTCCCCACCCAGCCCCTCCCCACCCTCCCCACCCAGCCCCTCCCCAACCCTCCCCTCTCCACCCAGTCTCACCCCTCCCATTTTTGGAAGCACGACGGATGGACACAATAATCCCCTGTGGGCTGGTGTAACCAGGAGGTTCCTACCAGTATTAACTCACTCTGTCTGTTGTTGTTGTATCCTCAAATCTTGTAACTCAGTTTTAACCCACTTCCCAATGTGGTATCGACTGCAAACTTGGTATACTTAAGCCATACTGATGACAATACTATATTATATCATAATAAAATTTTTTTAAACATTCTTTTTTACATGTTATGTTCAGCTTGGGTCTAATTGCCCACGGTCAACTGACGTTGACTGTAATTGGCCACGGTCCCTTACATTATGGCAAGCTTCGGGGCCACTTCCTGGAGTCGTGGAGTTCTGCCATTAAAACAGTTTTTTTTTAAATATTACTTATTACCAGGTAAGGCCCACCACTGAGCTACCTAGCTCGTGTTTCACAAGCGACCTGGCCGTTGCAAATGACAGCTCAACAAAGTTTGCTTATCGTCACGTGGACATTCGCAGCAGCGGCCAAATGCTCTTAAAAACGTGACGTTGTTTGTCAATGTGGAGCGACAAAACAGCCGGAGGGCCCCGGGAGAAAAAAGATTCACGCGACCACGGGGAGAGATAAGCATCGCAAACTCCTCGTATAGAACAGGCGTCAGGGTCGGGATCGGACCCATGACCTCATGTACACCAGACAAGCTAGTTAACATCTCCTAGCCACCGTGTGCCCCCTCCTATTCTTTTTCAATTTAATTTATTAGGTATAACCCTGTGAGCCATGCGGCTCTTGACTCGGGTGCAACCGCAACAAACAAAAACATGAACAGGAAACATCTTGAAGTGACTCTTGCCACCACGGCGCTGCCCGGGCTTACAGCGCCTGGCACCATCACCCCAAATCCCGAGACTTCAGTGAATACTCGCATGTCGCGGCAGGGCGGTTGGGGTCACGTTCTTGAAAATAGCTGCATTCGGAAAATCCGCGATGTGCAAGCTCGAAGGCAAATGGGGGAAACTTGGGGTTTGGTTCGCGGTTTGCGTAATACGAGGCCCCACCCCGCCCTCCTTGTGTTGTTTGACGTTCCCCTAAATCAACCCAAACAGCCAACGGTAAGCATTTGCAGTGTAAAATGCGATTCGTGTATTCGATTGTAAAATCACTCGTACCGTAAATGTATAGAATGACATGTTTTTGATGCAGTGTACAATACTGTACACGTTTCCAGACTGATCCAGGAGTATGACATCATCTGTCACACCCCCCCGGATTGATGCCGGAATTTGGCCTTTTGAGCACCCAGGGCCCTCCGATTTTCAGGTTCTCCCGACTTGACCGTTGCCGATCGGGAAGGGCACGAATCGTGACCGTAACACCGTCCGTGCCCCGTTCTGCCACCCAGACTCGAGGGGGACGTTCGAGTTCGACGTCGGCGCGCTGTCCTTCGACGTGCGCTACGTGTCGGCCGAGCTGCGCCTGCTGAGGACGCCCAACCCCGAAGCGACGCTCCCCGAGCAGCGCATCGAGCTCTACCAGGTGGGACGGCGAGCGTCGGCCGTGCTTGCCATGACCGGTCGGTCGATCGATCGATCCCTCGGCAGGCGGCGGGGGCCTGAGGTGTCCCGATGGTCTGCACCGGTGCATGCTCCCCTCGACGTCGCGTGCCATTGGCTCCTGGCTACCTCGACGTCGCGCGCCATTGGCTCCCAGCCACCTCGACGTCACACACCATTGGCTCACACTCACCTCGACGTCGTGTGTCATTGGCTTTCACTCACCTTGATGTTGCGCGCCATTGGCTCCCGGCCACCTTGACGTCGCGCGCCATTGGCTCAAACTCACCTTGACGTCACGTGCCATTGGCTCACACTCACCTCGACGTCGTGTGTCATTGGCTTTCACTCACCTTGACGTCGCGTGCCATTGGCTCCCGGCCACCTTGACGTTGCGCGCCATTGGCTCCCAGCCACCATGACGTCGCGCGTCATTGGCTCACACTCACCTCGACATCGCGTGCCATTGGCTCCCAGCCACCATGACGTCGCGCATCATTGGCTCACACTCACCTTGACGTTGCGCGCCATTGGCTCCCGGCCACCATGACGTCGGGTGGCATTGGCTCACACTCACCTTGACGTTGCGCGCCATTGGCTCCCGGCCACCTTGACGTCGCACGCCATTGACTCACACTCACCTCGACATCGCGTGTCATTGGCTCACGTTCACCCCTCTGCGCGTGACAGCTGCTGCCTGGCCCGGGTCCAGACAACCTGACTCAGCGCTTTGTGTCGAGCCAAGTGGTGCAGACGGGAGGGGAGGAGGAGCTGCTTGTGTTCAACGTGACCGACACGGTGCAGGCCTGGCTGCAGGACTCAAGTAAGGCCAGCTCGCACGCCCTCACCGCCGGCAACGGCAACTCCACGCGTCTTGTCGATAACACCACGCTGTGGTGCCTTGAATACATAGAAACGTGTGTGTTGAACTTCTTTCGCACCATACGTAGCCAACCATACGTTTCCGTTTGTTCATAGAGGCGCTGGGATGGTGAGATTATCTCCCTCGCCTGGTGGTCGATTCATATTCTTGGTTCCATTCCGAACCTGACGATGCCTGCTGCTGTATATTTGGAGTTTGCGTGCTTTTTTGCCGTCCACGTTTCGAATCGACGTGCGTTTCAGAGCATTTGGCTGCGATACATTTTCACACGATAAAGGCACTTCGTTGAGCTATCGTTTGTGGCCAGGTCACTTTTACCTTCTAAAATAAAAATAGCTTAAGTTTTGTTTCATTTTAGTTTTTAATCCAATGTTAGTTTACGTACACTTACAATTGTCTATGTGCTTTGTGTTGTAAATGCCCGTAGCGTGCTTCTTTAGATGGACCCCATCGATCGATCGATTGATCGATCTTCATTCGGCGTCGCGCCCCTTCACAAATAACTATACAGCAAACAGGAATGGATAAGCGATGGAAACGGTCAATAACTATGCGACGCAATGAACGATGAAAAGACTCAACGCAGAGGTCAATTAGAATGCGATGCAGGGTCGTAACGGTACAGAGTCGACGGCAGGGCGCGTACACGAGTGGGTCTTCGATCGGATTCACAAACCACAAACATTGGGGTTGCCCTCCCTTCGTTGCTTTTGGCTCAGATCTTCACCCCGTCTCGTCTGTATCTGCCTCGGTTTTTTTTGTTACTGCAGGAACAACATTCATTGCGCCCATAATAAACGCTTTTGAGTTAGATCGCGTAAGTATAAATGTGTCGTAACCCTATTCTGGAAAATCGCCTGATAACGCTAGATGTAATTACCAGCGAAACGTCACCAGTGGGCTGAAGGAGTAACGAATTGTCCTTAGTTACTCCTTCATGTCGTGTCATAACCCTCCACCACCCGACACAGCAAATTAGTAAGACAGATTGGTCATGTTAAAAAAACACCAATTAGTTACTACTTCAGCCCACCGGTGTGTTGGAGAGTAAATCCACGACATTTACAATTTGAGTCCCGTGACGTTTCGCTGGTAATTACATCTAGCGTCATAAGGCGATTTTCCAGAATAGGGTTACGACACATTTATACTTACACGATTTAACCCAAAAACCTTTATTATGAATAATATTGGTCGCGGAAGCCTGCTACGTTTCAATTTAAAGCTTTCATGACTGTAGGGATTCATATTCTTGGTTCTTTCGGTAAAGTCACGTAGAAGGGAAATAATAAAACAATACAATTTTCACGACGTTTCGATTGCAACACAAGCAATCAGCATCGGGTGTGAAAACCACAGCAAGAAAATTTGAAAAAAAAACCCGCCACTTTTTAAAAAAAATCTTGCCGTGGTTTTCACACCTGATGATGATTGCTTGTGTTGCAATCGAATTTTATTGTTTTATTATTATTTTATTATTTCCCTTCTACGTGACTTTACCAAAAGAACCAAGAATATGAAAGCTTGCTACGTGTTAAACATTCGTTGTGCCGATGTTTCCCTTCAGCAGAGTCATTGGTGCCCGAGTCGACAGACCGGTGGATCACGTTCGCTCGTGTTTTTTCTTGGTGTGTGTCGTTTGTTCAGCGGGCCTTGTAATGGCTGGCCATGTTATTACGTATTCTTGGTTCTTTCGGTAAAGTCACGTAGATTGAAATAAAAATAAAAATAAAAGAGAATAAAATAAAATTAAATTAACATAATAAAATTAAATAATAAATGGAAAATAATAAAAGCAGAAAACCCACGACGTTTCGATCGCAACACAAGCGGTCTTCATCAAGCGGAGATACATTTTTTAAAATTATATATTTTTTGTATTTTATATAAAAAAAAAATTCTATCTACGTGACTTTACCGAAAGAACCAAGACTATGAATTCCTGCAGTCACGAAAGTTTAAAGTCGTGTTATTACGGTTCTACAGAATTAGTTATGATTATCATCAACTCACTACATACGCATACCCGGTCTAGCGCTCCGGAACAATGAGCCAGTCGGTCAACCTCCACTGAATAATGTTTATAATTCTTGATTTGAAGCTTTCGTGACTGCAGGAATCCATACTTTTTGGTTCTTTCGGTAAAGTCACTTAGGGAGAAAATAAAATAAATCACCAAAGTAATGTTTTTAATTCCCTGTTTTTCTCTCTCTTGTTCTCTCTGTCTCATGTCTTCCTCTCCAGCCATGAACAAAGGTTTCAAGATCTCCTTGCACTGGCCAAGCGACTCAACCGTACCGCAACCGGGGATGCAAGTTCACTTCGAAGGTGAAGTACTCGCAGTGCGTGCACGCCTCTAGGAATGCCCCGTCTGGCCAGACCACAGCTGAGCTAAACTCGCACTAGACTGAAAAATGTCAAAATGTTCCACTGCTTTGCTATTCCCAGCCAAACGCTTACAATAACAGTAAGAGTGCGTGGGTGTGTTCACGTCGTGGGGAGCGGGTATGGTAGCCGCGCTGCGAGCTCGGCAACCCGGTGTTCGATTCCCCCTCACGGACACCGACGCCAGCGGCGATTACCCGAACCGGTCCTGGGGCTCCCCTCGGTCCACTCGGCCTCGAATCGATTCGCCCGGTGCGGTGTGTAAACATCGCCACTGGGGAGACAAAGACAGCCGGGTGTGGGCCAGCCGTGGTCACGGCCACCCTCCCCCCCCCACTCCGCTCCCCCTCCTGCGCCGTGGCAGCCTTCCCGGTTGCTACTCACCGACCGCACTTGCTCCGACCACTCGCGAAAGCTATACGGTGGAACTTTGCTTTTTTTTTTGGTTTTCCTTGCACAGAAGGGCGGGTGGTGGGCCCAGCCCGGCACGACATGCATGTGATCGAGGTGTACAAGACGGCACAGGAAAAGGGACGGCTCCCGTACCTGCTGATCATGACGCAGTCGGGGAGCCCGAACGGCTCCGACGAGGCGCGGACCTCCACCTCTGCTCGGAAGAAGCGCACGCTCGATGAAAAGTACTGCATGAGGTGAGCGGGGGTGGCAGCGGGGGTGGCGGCGGGGGTGGAGGGCGCTGGACTCCACGAGAGAAAGTAAATTTTGAAGTAAAAACACATTCTTGAGGGAGCTGCTAGGAACGTTGGGTTGCTCGGTCAATGGCCAGGGTCAACGGCGGCGTGGTGTATTCCGCAAATATGCCCGACTGTGAGGGCGGGCACAAGCCTGCGTGAGTAGGTTAAACGTTGAGTTTTATAAGGGCACCACGGGGTGACCAGCCCCTCCCCACCCAGGCCCACCCCTCCCACCCCCCACCCAGCCCCACGCTCCCCACCCAGCCCCTCCTCACCCTCCCCACTCAGCCCCTCCCCACCCTCCCCTCTCCACCCAGCCCGACCCCTCCCATTTTTGGATGCACGACGGACGGACGGACACAATAATCCCCTGTGGGCTGGTGGAACCAGGTGTTTCCTACCTGTATAACTCTAAACTGTTTTATTATTTACCAGGTAGCGCTGCTGCTGCTCCTGCTGCCGCTGCGATTTTTGCATTTTTTTACTAATTGTGCTGCTGTTTGGCCAGGCTGGACGTGGGCATGGCTGTGGTGCCACGCAGCTTGAGCCCAGTGCCGGATTAAACTAGTGCGGGGCCTGTAGCATATGCTATAAATGGACCCTATATAAAAAGACGAATGTTTAACTTGCATAGTAAAGTAATTGTATTTTTCATTTGTTATACAGCCAGATAATACGACAAACCGCTAACCTTAAACACCCAGTCTTTCATAAAAGTTGAATGCAGTATCGTACTATAGTAATAGAGCAAGTGCAGAATCACTGAACAGGAACTGATAGCTTGAAAGTGTGCGGGGCCCGTAGCATATGAAGCTTCTTTTGCTACTACGATAATCCGGCACTGCTTGAGCCCCCATTGACTCGTCCCTCTGTGCTTTTCACAGTAGTACTATCTGTAGCATCTGTGCAATTTTGTTTTTGGCACCTGCAAATGTATCTTAACGTGCAATTTTATTGAGTGACTGTGTGTTGCCCTGCTGTGGTCTGGGACTGTTGTTATTTTGTTTGTTCTTGCTGCCTTGTGCTAACTTGCATTGAGTGTTGAAAAATATCCCTTTGCAATTTGTTTATTTTATATGTATTTTTACTGACTTGCCTACCTTTCCTAAACTTTGCACTCCTATCGGTGACCCCGATTATTCCGCTTGCGAAGTCGGTGAATGCAACAACAATAAGTTGGGGGAGAAAAAAAAAACCTCTCTCCCGTGCGCGCGATCTCCTGGCACCAGCAATCAGGAGGACAACTGCTGCCTGAGGAAGCTGTACATCGACTTTCGGCGCGACCTCGGCTGGAGGTGGATTCACGAGCCCAAGGGATACCACGCCAACATGTGTGCCGGGCCCTGCCCCTACTTGTGGAGCTACAACACGCAGTACACCAAGGCGAGCCGCAGCACTCACCCAAAACAAACATCCTCCCCCCCCCCAACCCATACAGCCTTCAGCCTTTCACATCCTGGGTTAAACCCTTTCAGGTCCAGGGTTAAACCCTTTCACACCCAGGATTAAACCCTTTTACATCCAGGCTTAACTCTTTCACATCCAGGCTTAACTCTTTCACATCCGGGCTTAACCCTTTCACACCCAGGGTTAACCCTTTCCCATGACGTACGTGTACGTCATCAGTTTTTCTTCGTAAAATTTGCTTTTGTTCAATGGCATCGAAGCTCCCACAGCAGGGCGTGTGGCACAGTTTGGCACCAGCTCTCATAGGGTGCGGCGGCCGTGTCACTACAGTCATCTGCGGTGAGTACAATGTCTTTAAAAACAATGAAATTAACGCTGAGCCGGTGAACGGGACCCACCACCCTGCAATTCGCAGACGGATAGCGATGCAGAGATGAGAGAGGCGACGCATTCTGAGCGGAAGAGCTGCCATGCGGAAATTGCTCGACTCGGGGGGGGGGGGGGGGGGGCGGCCTCGAGCCGACGTGAGAGAAGCCGCTCTGTTCGTGCGTCTTATTCTGTCGTCGTCGGTATTCGTGCGCAGGTGCTGGGCCTGTACAGCCTGCGCAACCCCGACGCGTCGGCCTCCCCCTGCTGCGTCCCTCAGGAGCTCGAGCCGCTCACGATCCTCTACTACGTGGGGCGCGAGTCGCGCGTCGAGCAACTCTCCAACATGATCGTGCGCTCGTGCAAGTGCAGCTGAACGGCGCTGTCCAGCAGCACCGACGCCAAAGACACACGAAGATTTCCCGTCCCCCACACCTCTCCCGCCCGCCCGCCCGCCCGCCCGCCCCCCCATAGAGGCTTTAACAGGCTGTTAGGGCAAGCGCTGTTAGTAGCGAGCACTTAACGCCACCACCACCACCATCGACGACAACAGCAGCAGCAGCGAAAAACGGCAGAGGCAGCGGGCGTTGTCTGTGTCTCCCCATCCCCCCTACCCCTCCCCCTGCCCAGCCATAGCGGCAGACTGCGTCGCCCCTCAAAAAACTCCCACCGATGGCAGTCGTGGCCTGCCTCGTCCGGTTGGCGGGGATAGCAAAAGCACAAAAGTGAAAAATCACAAAGGACAGTCCTGCGTTGCGACTTTTCGTTGGTCGTTGATCCCAGGCCCCCCTCCCCCCCGCCCCTGTCGGAGCGGTGGTAGGAAATAATTCGCGCGTTTCTTGAAATGAGCAAGGCCATAATGGAAAAGAGTCTATGGCGGGTGGGGTGGGGTGGGGTGGTTGGGTGAGGAGGAATCGCAAATCTTGAGCGGCGCGAGGGCAAGGAGAAGTGTCGTGACCTGGGACGTGGCGACCGAGCGCAGTGCGGATGAGGCGACGCGTTTGGTGGAGGCACCAGCGGCGAGGTCGACGTTCACGGCAACGACTCACTGCCGCGGCGGCGGCAGCGGCGATACGGAAGGGCGACGAGGATGCCACTCGACCGACCGCGGCTACCAACTCCAAAACAGCGGGCAAAAAAATCACCTCGCACTTCCCCTGAAACATAAATAAGCGCGAGGTCGGCGGACTTTGTGCATGTGCGCGTGCGTCTTTGTCTTTTGCATCTGCAATCTGCCACCGGCTCTCGGGACGACGCAGCCGAACGGCAAAAAAATCGCTGCCGACGGAACCTCCGCTGGCTTCTCTGCCACGAGAGGACGGGAGAAGCACGGGGACGGGGGGGGGGGGGGGGACCCGAACATCCGAGACACATGGAACTTCGCCGCGATCGCGCTTGCGCCCCGCCCCGGTCCATCTGCGTGGGACTCGCCTGCCGATCGCCACCGTGCCACTTCTCACCGTCGGTTCAACTCCGCAGGGCTGCTCGAGAGAGCCGGCGATGTCGCGTGACGTGTAATACGCACGCCGCGGCGGCCCCGCGACAGTAGCCTGAGGTGCTTGCAGGAATGGCGCAGCTAACCCGCGTGTGCTTATTGCCAACACACGCTGGCTCGTATGGGATTGACGAGTTACCCTCAGCATTGTGGGGTGGTGGGGGGGTGGAGGGGGCGATAATGGTGCCACTTGCTCCAGTTCGGTTTGCTCGTTGCGTGCGCGATGTGCGGGTTTAAAGCGCTTCAGCTGTTTACGGTCCTCTTTGCATGGGGGGGGGGGGGGTGCGGGGGGCCCAGGGCAAGTCACGCCGTGTGGGGCCCCCTACCCCCCCGCCCCCCGCCCCCCCAAGACGCCTTCAATTTAAAGTAGTATTAGATCTGACAGCGTGACATGGAAGCGCAGTCCCCCCTCCTCCCCCCCCCCCAAAGTGCGGGGCCCGGGGCGGTCGTTCCTTCTGGAGTGGACGAAAGTCACATCCACTTTGCGGGGAAGTCGACAGTGGCTTGTCCTGTATAGAGACTGGCCTCCTGCCATGCGAATGTGGGGGGGGGGGGGGGGGCGACGGGTTCTCGGCAGAAGATGAGCATTTCCATAATTCTCATTTGAGCAGGAAATCACTTTGACTTTCACAAGTAATTTTAAATAAGTGCATGTACAGGCACTTACTTAATTACAGATCATCGTAAATCGGAACCCCATTTCCCCATAGAAACAGTATAAACATCACTTGCAGATGTGTTTTTTCCTTTCACGAGCCACATTTAACAGGGTTAAAAGGGATCAAAATCCACACACAGAAAAACCCCACTTAGGAATAACATAACCCCACCACGCCAAGTCACGCCGTCACGTTCTGCAGATGTAGATGCCACTGGTTCTTCATGTTCTGTAGATGTAGATGCCACTGGTTCTTCACGTTCTGTAGATGTAGATGCCACTGATTCTTCACGTTCTGTAGATGTAGATGCCACTGGTTCTTCACGTTCTGTAGATGTAGATGCCACTGGTTCTTCATGTTCTGTAGATGTAGATGCCACTGGTTCTTCACGTTCTGTAGATGTAGATGCCACTGATTCTTCACGTTCTGCAGATGTAGATGCCACTGGTTCTTCACGTTCTGCAGATGTAGATGCCACTGGTTCTTCACGTTCTGCAGATGTAGATGCCACTGGTTCTTCTCGTTCTGTAGATGTAGATGCCACTGGTTCTTCACGTTCTGCAGATGTAGATGCCACTGGTTCTTCACGTTCTGTAGATGTAGATGCCACTGGTTCTTCACGTTCTGCAGATGTCGATGCCACTGGTTCTTCACGTTCTGCTGATGTAGATGCCACTGGTTCTTCACGTTCTGCAGATGTAGATGCCACTGGTTCTTCACGTTCTGCAGATGTAGATGCCACTGGTTCTTCACGTTCTGTAGATGTAGATTCCACTGGTTCTTCACGTTCTGCAGATGTAGATGCCACTGGTTCTTCACGTTCTGTAGATGTAGATGCCACTGGTTCACGTTCTGCAGATGTAGATGCCACTGGTTCTTCACGTTCTGCAGATGTAGATGCCACTGGTTCTTCACGTTCTGCAGATGTCGATGCCACTGGTTCTTCACGTTCTGCAGATGTAGATGCCACTGGTTCTTCACGTTCTGCAGATGTAGATGCCACTGGTTCTTCACGTTCTGCAGATGTAGATGCCACTGGTTCTTCACGTTCTGCAGATGTAGATGCCACCACCGCCATCTATTGCGCGGCGGTTGAACTTACGACTCGCGGTCCGAACAGGCAAATTGGACGTACGGACCGGGTTTGTTCGTATCTCTGAAAGTTCGTAAGTCGAATGTTTGTAAGTAGCGGAGTCCCCACACCACGCGTGGGGGGGGGGGGGGGTCTGGGCCTGGAGCTCCCCAGAGCTCAGGTCCCCCCTCTCTCTCTGCGGCTGCCTTTGTCCTTGTTGGTTATCGCCAAAAGAGCTTCGAGTGCAAGTGGCACGTGTGGGGGAACATTCATGGGGAGCTTCGCCTGGTTGGCAAAACTTCTGCAAGCAACTCTCTCTCGTTGTTCGCGATGCTGTGGTGGAGGCTGACGAAATGCGTCTCTCGTTGTGACGTGCGGCCAAGTGGACATTCGACGATGCGGCGACTTTATGAAGGGCATCCACGAACGCCTTTCTCACGCGTGCCGTACGACTTGCAAAACGGTGTAGTAGGGTTCGATTATTTACGTTAGTGCAATCGATTTTTTTACGTTGTATTAATCGTTTTTATGTTGTCGGAGTCGGAATTTTAAGTTGTATGAATTGATTCTTTACGTTGTATGAATCGGTTCTTTACGTTATAGGAATCATTTTTTACGTTGTAGCAATCGATTCTTTACGTTGTAGCAATCGATTCTTTACGTTGTAGCAATCGATTCTTTACGTTGTAGCAATCGATTCTTTACGTTGTAGCAATCGATTCTTTACGTTGTAGCAATCGATTCTTTACGTTGTAGCAATCGATTCTTTACGTTGTAGCAATCGATTCTTTACGTTGTAGCAATCGATTCTTTACGTTGTAGCAATCGATTCTTTACGTTGTAGGAATCGATTCTTTACGTTGTAGGAATCGGTTCTTTACGTTGTCGGAATTGGTTCTTTAAGTTATTGGAACCGTTTCTTTACGTCGCGTGAATTGTTACGTTGTAGGAATCGATCAATTACGTTGCAGTAATCGATTCTATACGTTGTAGTAATTGGTTTCTGTACATTGTAGGGATCGGTTCTACACGATTCCGTGGGGAGCGACGTGCCACCGGATAAGTCGAACACGGCTGGTTTTAAAAAATCGATTCGTCAATCGATTCGTGATGATCCAGATCCGTTACAATTAATCGAATCGGTGGCGGGGGGGGTGTTCGTCATCGTTCAGTGTCTGCGCTTCAGTCAAAACCTTCCCTTGACCTGCCAGAGACGGGGTCACAGGTCACCCCCACGGATGCCACTTGGACCTGACCCCAGTGCCGGATTAAGCTACCACATGTTATAAAGGCGCTCTGAATAAAAAAAACCACACAAATATTAAAACACAAATGTTTGACTTGCATCGTAAAGTAATTGTATTTTTTTATTTTCTACACAGCCAGAAAATACGACAAATCGCTAACCTTAAACACCCAGCCGTTCGTAAAAGTTGAAGGCGGTGTAGTACTATATCAATAGAGCAAGGGCAGAATCACTTGAACCGGAATTGATCGCTTGAAAGAATTTAGCGCGGGGCCCTTGAAAGTGCGGTACCCGTAGCTACTACACGTGCAGCTACGACGCGTGCAGCTGCTGCACGCGTGCAGCTACTACGCGTGCAGCTACTACGCGTGCAGCTACTACGCGTGCAGCAGCTGCACGTGCAGCTGCTGCACGTGCAGCTACTACGCGTGCAGCTACTACGCGTGCAGCTACTACGCGTGCAGCAGCTGCACGTGCAGCTACTACACGTGCAGCTACTACACGTGCAGCAGCTGCACGTGCAGCTACTACACGTGCAGCTACTACACGTGCAGCAGCTGCACGTGCAGCTACTACACGTGCAGCTACTACACGTGCAGCTACTACGCGTGCAGCTACTTGCGCTACTAGGAATAATCCGGCACTGCTTGGTCCATGTCAACAGCACTAAATGTGAAACTCGGAATCCCACGGGCAGTATTATAATTATTTTGTTAAATGTTCGGCGTGCAAGACGCGTACACGCTTAATTTTATTTGTGTATGAGCGTAAATATTTTTTTAACCTGTTTTTTTTTTACAAATTTGTTTTTTCTGTCTTCATATGCTTAACGGTGTTTTGTGTTTGTGATAAAATACTAAATGCAATTCGTGCCACACGACTCATTTTGTTATTGTTGTCGTTAAGTTTTAATTGCTCCCACGTTTTCAAATGAACCAGGTAAAGCGGATGAACATTTTGTTGCCACCCTAAGAGGTCGTCCATAAATGACGTCACGCGATTTTGGACGATTTTTTTACCCCCCCCCCCCCTCGTCACACGGCGTCACAAAAAGTCAAACCCTCCCTCAAATATGACGTCACAAACCTCTGCCCCCCCCCCCCCCCAAAAACCATATTTTCATTTTGAAAATAGAACATGCTTCAAATGGATTTAAACTATTGTCATTGTAGTGCGTATTTAATGTGGCGCTGCACTTTGATGTTGTAGGAGTGTTGGTAGAACAATTTGTGTTGTTGTAACAATTCTATATTTATTTAAAGTTGCGCATTTTGATGTGACGTCACATTTCTCAAACCCCCCCTCCCTCGTCACACATCGTCACAAAAATCTGACCCCCCCCCCTAGGTGCGTGACGTCATTTATGGACGGCCTCTAAGTGCCAATCGGTGCTCTGCTGGATAAATGCCAAACGCCGCAGCTGCTTCGGCCAACGGGGGAATCGGCTCGGCGCCTCGAATCAAAGACCGCACAGGTGCCAACCAGTGGCACAGGTGCCAAGCCAACCAGTGGCACAGCGGCCCTCTTCCCCGAGATTAGCGAGCACGGTTGGCTACGTAGGGCGCGAAAGAAGTTCAACGTAGGTACGTCACCTGCCAACGGTGAGACTATGACAAGCGTGCGCACGCGGCTTCGAATTGTAGCGAGGGACAAAGAGGAACGCGTGAATTAGAGACATGACGTCAATACAACTAAAGGAAGCCAATTAAGTTGACTGCCATACAAAAGACAAAGACCCCCCCCCCCCCCGTATAGCCTGAGCAGACTGTTGGGGCAAGTGCTGCTAGCGAGCACCTATGAAGGCCAACACGGCGCACGAGGGGGTGGGTGGCCAGCACCACTTCCATACACACACACACATAGGTGTGCAGGCAGGTGCAACTGCACCGGAGCCCAGAGACCAGGGGTGGGAGGAGGAGGGGGGGGGAACTGCGGTCATTCTCGCAGACGCTTTTGGCTGGCCACCAACAGAAATAGGACGATCACCGCATCGCGCCCTTCTGCGGCCGTCTGGAACGCTCTTATCTTCCGATGTTAGGAAGCCACTGGGAGCTATGCACGTTCAAATCGTCGAGATTGAAGACGCATTTCTTTAGAACTGCTTTTTCTGTTGAGTTTGTCGTCGTACGGTGCGAAAGAAATCCAACGTACATGGCAGCGCCCGCTTATTGAGCCGAGCCAACGCGAGCATTTGCCGAGGGTGGGAGGGGTTGCGGCCGCTATGCCAGCTTCTGCAGTCTGGGGTGGCGGCAGCGATTGGCGCTTGCGGCTGCCTGGCTGGCCCGGTGAGTTCCCCACGGGGTTCTGCGCAGTGACGGCGTCGTGGGAGGCGCAA